CGGTATAAACCGAAGGTCGTAAGATAGTAGCCTAAACGTATTAATTTCGGTCCACAAGAATCGCATAAAGCGCAGGGGCATTCATTTTTAAACTTTTGGGACAGGTTCAATGAACAGTTTTTCAAATTCTCGATGAATTTTTTAGGATATACATAAAAAAATTAAAAAAAATTATTTGCATATCATAATATATAATTTGTGGTTACCCATATTTTCTAATAACTGCTCATAAATGAAGCTAATAAATTAAATTCCAATCTATTTTGGATTTATTACAGAAATTGCGCTTTTGTATACTCTTTCTAGAATTCTCAATTTCTGCCATCTAAACTTTGAGGTTGCTCTTCTCTTATATTTTATCGATTTAGACCATTGTGTGTTTTTAAGTCTAATATTTTTTACTGATTTTATGATAAAATATTTTTAGACCGACCATTGTCCCGAACTAATTGAAACGGTTAAAAGGAAAATATAATATTGCATATTTATAACTAGATTTAATCAGGCTTGTTGTGTCATTAAATGGCGAAAGTCACAATGAAAGGCTATCAGGAAATCAACAGTCTTTAAGTATCTAATGAAGCTGAAAGAAGTTATTTGACATTTTGAAAGACATTGAGATATTTTTTATGGTGATTAAGAGTGAAATTGGGGTTACGTTGGTGTAATCGCGTTCAGATCGATTCAATAACATAACAATATTACCATGATATTCCATAGTTTGCTTATGTAATGAAAATTACTGCCTCGGGCAACTTGAACCCAAACTTTCCCTGGAGTGTTTGTTTACACTTTAGGGAACATAATTCACAAATACAGTGTCTAGAAAATTCCTAAAAGGGAGGGAGGAATTAGAGGTGACTCTCCGAGTTGAAGCCCGAAGGGCCGGTGTGCAGGGACATCAGAGGCCCACAAAAGCCAACGGTTTCAGATGGTCTGTGGTAAAATTTGAACATATCGAGGCTTTTTTTTTCATTGCACTTCACAATCAAAATATTCGGCCTCACCGGAAGGTATCAGACAATATGCTGTGAAGCTACTGTCAATTTGACTCCCTTTTATTAGCCTTTCATGTTTCTATACTGAAAAGAATACAAACTAAAAATTTGGTATTATCGGAAATTTAATGTATCCACTTTTTCACAAAGTGCACTCAAGTTTGTTGTGATAAATTCTGAAAATTTTGACACTATTATCATTTTAATTGGAACTCGCACGATTCATCTAAGTGTTGACTAGTGCTGTTAGGGTTTTTGATGTTTGTATAATGAAGTTAATTAGATCTAGTTATCATACACAAACATTATCTTATAATTATTGTTTGATCTAACATGCTTGGTTCTAATAAGTTCTTTAGAGTCGCGGTGTACTTTTTATTTAGAAAAATGTAAAACAAAAAGCCGTTAAGGTGCCCTCACAACATAACGGTTACTATACTAGTTGTGTATATTTTCAAATAATAAAAGTGGTCAGGAGTTCCGAACGCAACTCACAATTCCGTTGCGTTCGAAACTAATGACCGCTGTTCTTATTCGCAACCGTATATAAGTGGTGATCGTTACGATGGTGTGTGGACACCTTCATAACCTGAGCCGTTTAATATTTTTATTCATATTATGTGCAATTTAGAATATGTTAGCGTTTTTTTTGTCGAATGTAGAACTTTTTTCACTTTTAGCAATAAATTATATTATGTGAGATAACATTTCATATTTAAAACAATACTCATATATTATATTTCAATATAACAAGAATATGGTAATTTTTTAATCGAAAGGTAGCATACTATGGATTGTCTTCCGTATTTGGTTAGGCTATTTTCGACCTCGGGATTTCAACAGTACAATTTGCTACACACACATAAGTAACGTTCGATATGTTATTAGAAATGGACACTGTTGTAAAAATAACTCAGTTGGAGAAGAATTTGACTAGGTTTTATCATAAAGGTATGGAAACAAAAACAGTGTGGAAAATTTCAATAGAGATATCATTCAGTGCCAAATAATAATACAGAGGTTTCAGCAGTTAACTATATTGTACTGATATCAAATTTCAGATTCCAAGCATTAGCAAGAAACCAACAATCCATTTTCTTCCTCCTAAAATTCCACCAAGCGACTTTAAAACAAGTACACTAGAGCCATTAGCTCTCTAATTAAGTTAACCTTGCTTCATTAAATTCCTTTGAAGCTGATTATTCTATTGATATCCTGAAAGTGAAATTTCTATCAAAAATTAATGTCGCTTATGCTTCATGAAATTACTAATATGAGATGCTATCATTTCTTTTTTCTTTTAATTTTGTTATGATACCGTTAACACAGTTAGAAATTAACAGTAAAAACGTTGGTCCTCTGGGGATACTGTTCAAGAAGGTTTGACAATAACCTTCATATTCATATACGTTCTGGTGATCGAAAGCACATATCTTAGAAGACACTTCCTGCTGATGATAAGCTTTGCTAACTTAAATATATATATAGTATTACACTACTGGTTACTAACCCTTGGACTTCTATACATTATTTACCCCAGTCTCCCTTCTTAAGAAACACACAGATCAACGCAACCTTACGATCGACAAGTTATTCTGGAGTCTAGACGGGAGATCAACTCAAAACTCAATATCATCCGTTCAGTAAAGGTATTAAGAGTTTGAAATAGTTACTTTATTTGTAATTTTCAGGTATCAGCTGTGCTAGTTGCTGGTACTACAGAAAATAACAGTGTCTCGGGAATGGAATCAAAGACCCTTACCAATTTGTTGTACAGTCCAGTAGTAACAACTGGCTGCTTTAATATATACGGGTATATAAGTGCTTAGAAACTCTATAACAAGATGGGTAACATGGGTTGAATTTTCATTCAGCCTATACTATTTTTAATTTCTGCTTTTATGACAAATATAACCATAGTTTGTAATAGCGGATACAAAAAAGCTTTCATATAGTCAATTATAGTACCATTTATAATAAAATAATCTGGAAAATTGGCATATTAAGGTTCTTTAGCTCTTTTAAAAGTTGATTCATCATTCATAAACAATAAATGAGGAGAAATGGAAGGAAATCACGTCGTTGGCATGATAAGAGTCAATCAGGCACGTTCAGAATTATATGAATGAAAGTTAATAGTTATGATTATGATAAAGTAATATTAAAGAGTTTGATAGAAAACGTGTCAGAATTAATAGCCACTACATTATTTATACTGTTTTATATTCCTATTGTAGTTAATGACTACATGGGAAAATATTGAAAACATTTTCCTACTTTATTCCTTCGTAGAAACAACCACAAATGCTTTGCTAAGTTTATGTTTAATAACTTGAAATACAACGATATCATATTATTATAGAGGTTACAACATCTTCGCAAAGGTATCAAGAACTTTGTACTTCTTGACTGCAATAGTCACCTTCCTTGTATCATGAAAGAATGTAAAAGAAGCGATTTGATTGGACTGTACGCTAGCGAATACAGCCAATCCGAGGCCCCGAAGTCTGTGAACACAAAGCCATAATGTATACAGCCTTTCTGGCTCTGATTGGCTGTATTTGCTGGTGTACAATCCACATAAATCGCTGCGGCTCGTGATATAAGTTATTGTAGTCAAGGTATAAAACAAAGGACGTAATAGTTTAACCATTGTGAAGATAGTGTTAGCATGGTGAATGTGGAGATGCTTTTTCTTACTTCGCTAAATAGGGTCACTCATTTTAACTCTTGAATAGAATTATTCTTATTCTCTTGGAGACCAAAGTAGATCTCTCCCATTGAATGTATTCAAGTATTGTTTTATTTTAAAAAAGGTTTTTGGTAGAGAGTTTATGTATTGTACCATATCCAAATATTATCTCTTTCATATATTCGAGTACTGAATGTTAAGATGTTGCAATATCGTAAATTATCTGTATTTGGCTCCCAAAAGTTTCCCAGGCCATTTCTTAATGAAGACTTGAGAAAGTGTAAAAATTATGTCATTTTATAGGATTTGTTCTCAAGCACAAGCCAATTAACACCTTGTAGGTGTTGAACAAAGAAAATATTTTATGCTCGAGGAAGAAAAAAATTCTCGTGATTCAATAAGATTCGTCGGAAAACTAATTATGTGTATCAGACACATAAAAAATTCATTGAAGACACAGTAAAAGGATGTAATACTCCAACACTTGGTTCAGCAAGAGACAAAGCTACAAATTAAAGACATTGTACAACTCTCAACGAGGACATCTTCCCAGCCGTCTAGAAAAGATACATACAGGCGATGTTTTAAGAAGATAAAATGGTTCATTAGATATATCAGCAATGCCTTTTTTCATACATTTTAAAGGGAATTTCATAATTAAATATTAAAAATTAGCGTCATAAATAAACTACATCCAATATATTTTAGAATGTAGAGAAGTTTGCTTGTATTTTCACGAATACTCAAAAAGTGTTCAAGATAATCTGGTCCTTTCTTGTAAAAATTTTTTCTAAATTGTTTATGTGTATCAGGGACACAGTATAGCTTCGATTGGCACCATTTCAATTTTCAGTCAGACGTTAGTTGTTCTTGCAATTCCGCTAAACCTAGGCGTTTTTGATACAGCTATCGCAAAAGCCCTTAATTATAAACATGAGCTTTTGTGCTAGTGATGTCATAAACGGTAAAGTATTTCTGTAATTACAGGAACCGTGAAAATCTGTATGAAAATTTGAACGATGCAAGTGGAATCTATGAATAAACCCATACACTTTAAAAAAAAACCCCTAGAAAACCTTTGTGCAACCTCTTTAAGTATTCAAGAATTCTGATCTTGATTCACTCTTCATATAAAAACAAACCATTTTAACATGAAAATATCTTTATTTTATAAAACTTTATTAAACAGCAATATATATATTTATATCAATCTAACTAAAATTAGACCAAAGTTTCGTTCGGACTTCATTATATTTTTTTATGTTGTAGCCACTATAGTTAGGGTCTAAAGACGGTTCTCTTAAACTTTCATGGCAATAACTTATGACCTCTACTCTGATTCTATAATTTCAGTATGTAATGAACAGTGTACGAGAAGAGAAAATGTTGGTAAAAGAAGATGTAGTAAAAGATGTATCACCAACCAAGATTGTGTCAGTGCCAAGAAGAAATGTCTATGTGATGGTGTCTGTGGTCTAAGCTGTATTAATCCAAGTAAGGAGTATTCTACATAATTCATTATTTTAAATGGGTCCATAATTATGACAGACGGTTCACCGTGAATTTTTTAAAGCGCTCTGCCATTCGGCAATCCTTGACAGTTTCCGTAAAACCGAATCTATCTCCGTAATGAATGGCTACCATTCATTATCGTGATATGTTGCAGAGCGCTACCAGAACTTCCGCGGTAGACAAGTTGGCACTCTGTAGCATATCATGGTGTGTAATGGCGTCAATTTACTGGTACTATGTCCAGATAGTCCAAAGTATCGGCCATGAGGACACGATTCTTCTAATTTATATCCGATTCTGCTTTACAGAAACTGCCGAGAATTCCAGAATGTAACCATTTATAATTCATAAAATATTCCAGAACGTACCTGCATTATAAATATTACAAGTGTGATTCAACTCACATGCAAGGACGATCAATAAATATGAAAAAAAAAATCAAAAATACTCTTAACGGTACATGCGATCATCAGCAGGCAATGAGACTAGGCCCAGACTTCTTTTGTCCGCTACGCGTAGGCGTATACGCATAAGTATTCCTGTTGGCGATCTATACCAACTACAATGCAAGTAATTAACCATGCGTCAAGCCTGCATAATCCAGCTAGTGACTCTCAGGAAACATCTTTTATTGGAGTATCCTGATCAGTACATCGTCCTTGAGCGCAAAAAATGCTCGATTTTATATCAGTCCGTGTTATGCGTAGACTTCGCAAAACAGATTGTGAATAAATGAAGTTGTTTTAACTAAAAAAAAGATTAATGGCTTTTTTCACGTTTACCGATACGTAGCCTACTACGCTTGTAGAAATACGGACAAAAGGAGTTTGGGCTTTAACTCCTACTGAAGACATGTTTTGATCCCAAAACTATTACAATTGTGAAAGAATACGAATAGTTCGTATTGTTTCTTTTCGCATTCTCAGATAAAACATAAACTGAGAATATCGCTCTCTAGAGACTTTATAACATTATTATTACAGCCATACTAACTCTTAAAACAAACGACTCAGCAATAAAATCATTCCTTCCTCCACTTCGTGTTTTTCTGCCTGTCGCCTGCTTGACTAGTTCTAATGTAGTTATAAGACGAGGTGCTGATCCTAGTTATACTGGTAAAAAATACTTCTAAATGTTATCAGGGTTGTTACACATCAATTGTCAGGTGTTCCAAATCCTGTACCGAATCTGGAAATAATGCACTATTAATGACCAATGACCGAAGACCATGGTTCGCCATTTTCGGGGGTTGATTTAAGTTTTGAATATCTGTAAATAGTCTTCAAGAAGAACTAGTATTGCACGAAAATCGCATAATCTCTTAATATATAATAAATACGATTTTTACCACATACGCGTACAAATAATTTTTTTGTGTTTTTCTCGATAAAAGTCATTTCTATATATGGTGGAGTATCAAGAGAAGTCATTTTCACTTTCAAACGCGGATAATTCTTGACACACATAGATTTGAAATTTCGACGGGGAGCTGTGGACACTATTACTGATTAGCTTACGGTGCAATCGGTCAAAGGGATGGAAAACGTGCCACTTTGATCTGAAGGCAAGTTGGTTGTCAGCTATTCGAGGATTAAAAATAACATGTTTTGTCTTTCTTCTTGATCTTTATCTTATGGTTCTACAAAGCTCGGTGATATTAGTTAGGTTGTCAAATCTTGGAGAGAATATTTTGTTTCCTTCAAGAAATGTCACACGGGTGGTTGAGTAAGACAAAATAAATATTATTGAAGATTGCAGCTACATAAAAATCATTGAACTAAATGAATGAGTGATTTATATCTCGTCAAAGTAACCATCAATGATTATTTCACACTATGATCTGCCAGATTGGGAAAAGGTTTTCATAAATATCATATCACATACCCTTTATAGATCGAGATGATTTTCCCCTCTCCCCATGTCGGTATCGATGATCAGAGAGGCTAGTATACGGGAAATGAATAGGAATTAACGTTCCTGTATCCCTTGATGTTCTTAAATAGGAACAATCGGCATTTCCAGGGGTTGATTTGGGTCTAGTTTGTATGCCAATAGCCTTCAGAAGTACTTAAATTGCATGGAAATTGCATAAGGCTAAATCGATCAGGGTACGATTGGTCAAAGGGATGGCGATCTTGTCCCTTTTAAAATACTTAAACATCCTTGGACCGAAATATTGCCTATATGACATTACCTCACTCTCCTTGATTTGCATCAGCTAAGACAACATTTGAAATTCTAGAGGAGTTCAATGTCGGTATCTCTGACCGATATGAGATCGAAATAGTACCATTAAGATCACCTCGAGAATCGGTCCCCTCAATACGTTAACAATGACCCTAAAGTTCATGTAGGAACCAGTATTCTTTTTACATATTTCAAATTCTGAAGATTAAAGATTTTGTTTCATATATTCAAATTATATTATTCAAATTAACTGAATAATCAATACTCTCTCAGTAGAGATAACGCCTGTGCCTGTGATTTCGTAAACCGCAATGTTACAACCTTAAATCCCTATCTTTCAACTCGTACTTCTATAGGCAAGTTTCAAGAATAGAGGTTCTTTAATGTAATATACCATTCCAATTCAACGGCGATAAAAGGAGATTATATTTTATCACCCAGACTCTTGATGAGTTAGATTGATAAGTGATTATCCAGACATTTGTCTGTATCGGCCCAAGTCGATTTCTTTTAAAAATCTATCCAACTGCTAAAAACACAAACAGAAAACAATCAAATTAACAGGAATAAATTCTTTGAATGTCTTCAACAGAACATATAATGATAGACTCACTGAAATTAGACTTTTCTTTGAGGTATAAGGTTTTTTTTCTCCTAAATGTTTCGTACCAACCAATTAATGGGATTGATTCGATTCCATTGCCGATCTACCGTTTATCAATGTTTACAACTCTGCTGATCCCATACTCCAACGCATCCAAACTGTGAGAATAATTGAGTTGTACTATCGAACCAGGCATTTAAAACTCAACAATAAGATGTTTTAACATTGGGGATTGGGGAATGGGGGGACGGAATAACCCTCATTAGGCCGGAAGGGGGTGGGGGTGGCAAACAGCACCAGACATTTAAGAACGCAGTGATATGAAGTTAATAAGTGAGGGCCGATCCCGGGTTGGGATGTACTACTTGTATTATAAGAAGTCAATGAGTAAGAAAGAAAGACAGAAAGGAAAAGGATAAAGACAAGGATAAAATCTTACAGCTGGGTCGACTGGGATCTACTTTGTTTAACCTGAAATTACGATTGGTGTATAATTATTTTTATACGATTTCCCAGTTGGTTCAATAGAAAATAGAAAGAGTAAATCATGTCAATAAATTATTCAAGAGTTGTAAACATTAATTTATAAGAAAAACCTTAATTTCTAATATTCCAATGTAATAAACCACTTTCCTTTAAATTGAGTGATTTCTCCAAGTCCACATGGATTTGACACATTTAAAATGAAAATAGAAGAGAATCTGACTGCGAACTTCTTTACAATTCTATCAACTAGAACAGTATCTGCTGTTCCCAAGGATTCATAAATCAACGACGTCGGACAGAAGCATAGATTTAATATCTAAACGAGTTGGGAAAGACTGTCAATTTTTAATGTCGATTAGCAATGGATTGACGTATTAACCGTTCAAAAATAACAAAATATTGCTCTGTTTTGTGATTGGGGAAAACGATTTTGTTAGTTTGTAATTGGACGCCCTGAATAAATCGATGGTATTGAAATACTGGTGAAGATCTCTCCGGAATGTTGATCTACTGCTTGCTATTATTATTGTATAATTCAATATCAAATACAATATACTCGTATAGCCAGGTTCTCAAACCCTTCTTATCATACAATGTACAGACTTAAAGGGATCGTTAAGTGCTTTTTTTAAAAACTTTTTATGTGTATCGTTAACATTGATAGCATTGATTTGCACCATTCCAGTTTTCAATCAGACGTCTGTGGTTCCTGCGATTCCATTTAAACGAAGCACTTTATGACGTAGCTAAACCTAAGATCTAAACAATGCATTTAATATATCAATAATATTTTCAGCAATTTATTAGTAAAAGTATCCCTAGGGACAATTTACATTAAGTTCTGATACATTCTAAGCCATGTCTTACGTGGACATCTAATAATGAATTGAAAGAAAAGAAAGAAACAAACAACTATATTTTACAAGGATAACAACTCACAAGGATCCTTTCTGCCAGCTGGTACTGGGCAGTCACGTGGGATTGGCATTGATCTTTCCATGCCCATTAATAACTGGGTTGACTGGAATTATGAGTGAAGATGACTGATTCAAAATCATTTGATTTGCGCCATTCAAGAGTAGAATCCACATCCACCATGTGAAACCCATTATGTAAAAACGCTATTGTGATATTTTGTATTCTGTACATTTCCGGGTTACTTACAGAGATTAGGATGTCACAGCCACAATCCATCAATACTTGGTCATACAACATAGAGAATCGTGTCCCAATGTTCATTACGCCAACCTTTCAAGAAATCATGAACAATAATTATTAATACATTACCAATAATATACAGACATTGCGACATCTTCACTGGTTAAATTAGAGGGGTGAAATGAAATATTGGAATAATTTATTTTACATTCTTGGTTGAACAGATTAATATTGAGAGCACATAGAGAGATTTTAATGAAATTATGTAGTAAGCTAGACGACAGTAATGTCAATGATTGCATTCGACAGACTCTCAATTACTGAAATCATGTCCAACTGTCTTTAACTCATTTCCTTATTACGTCCAGCTGATGTGGAGAGCCCTTGGGAGGAGGTGACTCACCGTCGTCCTTGAGACAACAGGCTACTATAATATTTGATAATGTCGCAACTTATTAACCCTCTTTATAACTTCCTAATAGAATAATGGTGGAACTAATACGAGAATTAGACTGATCTATGGATTGAGAGTTCTAATACAGCAGAGTCAGAATTACAACACATAGTGAGACATAGTGCATGCGTAAGAATGTCACCTTCCAAATCTTAAAGTGATTGTACAGAGGTTTTCTAAATTTTTTATGTGAATCGGGGACATTTATAGCATCGATTTGCACAGACGTATAGAAAAACTCTTTACAATCTTCGTCTGCTAGTACTTATAAAGTGTATGAATAAAGTATAATATCTAAGCCTCTATGTCTTTTCATTATTCACAATTCAGGTTCCTTTGAACTTTTGTTTTTGGCATCTAGATCATAGTGTTGTAGGCCCCCTACATTCAATTTGAATTCATTGGGACGACCATCATAATTCATATCTTTACCAGTTTGTAGCTGTCCAAATATTAGAATTAGAGGGGACATAAACCAGAAATATGATTGGTCCGATAATTATGGCCTGGAATAGAGTGAGGTATCAAGGGAAATTATTCAAAGTGACCTATACTTTCAAAACAAAGATTAATTTTTCTGTATGAGTTACTTCTCTTAGTTATCATAATTAAGTCCTTCGGAAGATGCTTTCAATTCATGTTGTGAAGTCAGTTTGTTTCGCATGGATTCATGTACCTTAACGGGCGATAATAACAGTTAATGAAAATATAAATGAAATTTGGTTTTATGTAATCACTGTGCAATTGCATCAAAGACAAAGGCGGATGAAAATTACTGCCAACTGGTGTTGATGCTGGTGCCCTCCCTCTCCCCTATATAGTTTGTTTTGTACCCCCACTTCATTTATGAGAAATTTCAAAATTTTGATTCTTTATACATTTTTGCCCCAATTATGTGTCAAAATGCACTGAATCAATTTAATTTTCCAAAATATTTCTCTGGGAGAACTTCCTCAGTCCCTTCATAGAAAGCTTTTACCTATGCGCTTCCGCCCTCTAAGTCAGCCGCCACTGTGTAGGGCATGTTTAATCATAGCTTTATTGACCAAACTCATTTCATCCGAAATAAATGCCTTTATCATATTCATACCAATAAAACATGTCAAGGAATCTCGTATGCAATTAACCTTTAAACATTTTCAATAGCTGTGAAATCTAACATGTTTTTCTTTAGATCAATGTTAGAATACTTCCGATGGTAAGGTCGGAGGAATATGTTAACGGGAAATAAATCCGGAAAGCGATGAGTACATCAAGTGTGGTTTGATTGGGTTGTTAGTTGCTCCAGTCAAATCAATTAAAGAAATAGTCAGACAGAGTTGATGAATTTATTCAGCCAGTTGTCGTATTACATTATCGCAATATTATTATACCAATATCCCTGTTTGTTATTTTGGTAAAATAATGGGAAAGATCCGTTGGACCGCAAAGCCGTTGGACTGCATATAGGGCATCTTCGTACTTACACCTTGACTGCAATAGCCACTAATCTTGTATTACGGAATACAGCATTGCATCAATTCATTAACAAACTTCCTTGATACAAGAAAGGTGTCAATTGCAGTTAAGGTATAAGTACGAATTTCATAATAGTTTGACATTGTGAAAACACTTGGAATATTTACTCTCGCCTATTAAGTAATTGTATGTTGCTTTGTAATAGGATGTATGCAATGTTTTACTTTTTATTCTTAAATCCAATAAGACGATGTTTCCGATAGGACTGCACTTATTATTCCAGATCTGGAATCCTTTCATACAGTTTATCACACAGTAACTTCAACAACTTCCTTCATCAAAAGTAAAATGCATTCAAAATCGCATTGTTTCGCTGGTGGAAATACTCCATTGTTTTTATTTCAGATATCAGATGTAATGATTTAGGTGCTAGAATTCTACATGGAAGCGTTGAAGTTATACCATTTAACCAGTTTGGTGCCATAGCTAAGTACAAATGTGACGAAGGTTACACATTATTTGGTGTTCCTGCAAGAGTTTGTCAGGGTGACGAATCTTGGAGTGCAAGAGCACCAACTTGTAACCTTACACAACATGTCATAGGTAGGTAGCTGAATATAGATGAACATGCATGGCTCTCTTGCTTCGCGGATTTATAACTTGCACACCGAACAATCATGTCTGGCTACGGTTCTGATTGCCCACCATCGCTAGTTTACGTTTTGTTGATTTCTTTTACACTGAATGCAGTCATCTTGAACTTATTCAAAAGCGAATATGATTTCAAATTGGAATGATGTAATTATTAAAAAACGAGTATTTGTAAATTGTTATTTGATAGAAGTGGACATAAAATCGATGTAATTTTAACGTGATGTATACATGCAGTTGGTTTCCAATGAGATAATTTCTATAGGGAATACAACTCACAATATCATTATTCTTTACTGTAAATATTACTATAAACCTTCATTTAAATATTTGTTGTAAAATTAAAACCTACTTGATAAAAGTCTCAATAGGTTTCTGAGGAGCTTCTCAGACATATAAATTGTCGTTTAGGAGAATAGGAAGTATTTCAATTTCAGCGAAAACTTTAAAATCAAACAATGGAATCATCTAAATGGGGGTTTTAAGAGCAAAAATAGAATGTTTTTCACAAAGAGATTCACGAAGAGAGAAAAAATATATAACATCGCTAACAATTACAGGACGAAAACAGATAAAACATTCTATACTACATGAAATCATATAACAGTTTTAGAGAAGTTTTTCCATCATACATTTGTAACACAATATTATGGTATACTACTCAAATGTTCTATTTTACACAACGCTTTAATGATTTACATTATCAGCATCAGGTGATTTTTTCTATGATGACAATGTAAATTGTTGAAACGTTGTGCAATTTAACCAATTTAAGTAGTTTACCATAATATTGTGATGAGTTACTTAATGTGATTTCTATCCCTAAATGTCGCTTAGGATTATCTTAGTATAGTATTCTAATTTGCTTTCAGAAAAACAAGAATGCGGTGCACCTCCACAAGTTAACCACGCCCATCATAATGGACCAACAAGTGATGTGAGTCACCAGCTAGGCAGTATGTTATTATATGAGTGTGATGCTGGATTCACTGCTAGAAAGGATGCTGTAGATAGAGCTTGGTGTGTTGGAGGTGGTGTTTGGGTCGGACCAAACATGACTTGCAGTCGTAAGTGAAATATATCTCTTTTAAAATCAACTCAGCATGAAGCGTTATAAAACCTTCTACCGCATGCTATAGGACATAGTATATCAAATTCATAAAGGGTTAACATTATATTAGGTAAATATTCTCATGTTAAACACGCAAACGACGCAATGAACATTAAGAATCAACAGATCATTTCATCCGAATACATTTATCTGTTCGATGATCATCTATTTCAGATGCCGGTTGTGATTTGTTACCGCCGATATCTTACGGTAGAGTGGATATTATACCGCCCAATATGATTGGAGGCAGAGCTCGGTATTCGTGCTATCCTGGTTTTCATCTTGTTGGACGATCTGAACGAACTTGTCAACCTGATGGGAAATGGGATGGTGCTCCACCAAGTTGTGAAAAAGGTTTGTATCATCATGGAATATTATAATGTATTTAATCTCCTGAAGAGGAACAGTTCGCTCTGTGCTCTTCAGGTTCTTCTGCTTGAGAGGAAAGGTTGGAGGGCTTTCGCTTTCTAGTGGAATCTTTTAGCTTTCAAGTTGATTTAAATGCCATCTAATCCATCTATGCCAAAATAAATCTGAATTCTTGTTTTTAGTTGTATGTGGACGGCCACCAGAGGTAGAGCATGCGTCACATGACGCACCTGATCAGCTACAGTTCCAATCTGGCACACATTTAACTTATACTTGTGTATTCGGATATTATCGAGAAGGAGCACCACGAGCTGTGTGTACAGGGGAAGGCCAGTGGGTAGGACCCAAGATGACATGCAAAGGTGTGTTGATAACTTTAAACAGCAGTTAAGCACTATCGTTTTTTTCGAAATAATAATGCAGTTCTGTAACATTTACAATAGAATTACAGACCAGCTACACTTAGAGATCTTGTTTGTTCATACCATTCTATTGCTATGGTAGCAATTTGCTTTAAAATTGGTTAAAACAAAAGGATAGAAAATTGAACAAACTTAGATTACCTACCGATAGGTCTGTCTTCCCTTCTGCGCCATGTGTACAATACATCCAAAACATTTATCAACATACACATGTTTAATTATTTTCATTATCTATTATTATAGCTAGAAATTGTGGAGCGCCTGGTGAAATAAACAACGGTTGGAGAGATCCTGGCTATAAATTCACATTCCCTAGTCGAGTCACCTACCATTGTGATGAGGGGTTTGAGTTATTGGGCCGTGCTTACAGAGAATGTCAATCTAACGGAGAGTGGTCTGGTATACTACCAACATGTGAACGTAAGAATCTATTGCAGCTCTATCATAGTTTCAATAAACTGTTATTCATAAAACTTTATTATTCAGACACGCCTTGACATATACTTTAAATTAATGGAAATTGGTTTAATCCGTTTGTCAACTGATTTATGCCCATACAGTGGCGTTCCGAAGATTTGATGGTGGTCCCTCTGGAAGCTTTTCTAATCTAGGACAGCGGGAATACAACACTGGGTCCATTCTTGTGGACCTTGTAAAACATTCATAGAAGCAACGGAATAAGTGTCAAAACATCGGCAAATACCTGTCCATCAGATGTCGATCCACTTCCCTTTATGTCTATGTCTTGAATCCTTCAATATTAAACACTGTATTGTAATACTTGTAAGCATCCACAGAAACAACCGTATAAGATGTATTATAACAATCTGTGTACAGTCACGAAACGAACGTGTAGAGAATAATTTGGATATATTTCAGCTATACCGTGTCCAGAACTGGGACCACCTCTACACGGCACTGTACCGATATTAGAATCAGATCCTTTTTTTAAATTTTCATCCTTTAAGATTCAATAATCTTTTGTTAAACATTTCTGTCCGAAGTATAAATAACACTATGTAGATGTGTCAAAGAATGATATTGGCATATTTCAGCTATACAGTGTCAGGAACTGGGACCACCTCTACACGGTACAATGATAGGATCTGGTAGAACGTATGGATCAATCATTAAGTTTGTTTGTAATGATGGTTATAAAGTGGTGGGATCTGATGAAAGGAGATGCCAAGCAGGTGGAATGTGGAGTGGACAGGAAGCCAGATGTGAAGGTTTGTATACTAAAATTAGTACCTACATTTTAAAGGGGTTATATAGAGTATGAGTATCTGGGATTGAACGATAGATTTGCATGGTTGTATCCAAGAACTGTATGTGACTGGCGTCATTGGTGAGGAAACATGCCAATCCTTCTAAATCCTTTGTACGTTTTGTACCTGCATATACTTTAAATGGGTTGTAAAGAGTTATTTTTGTAAAATGAGTATCTGGGACTGAACGATTGATTTGCAATTAGGATTATATCCAATAAATGTACGTGACCGTTGGCATTGATGAAGAAACATGCCATCCCTTCTAAAACCTTTATTCCTCTTACCTATTATGGAAGATTTATTGACAAAAGTGAACTTAATTTAATTACAGAGATTGATTGTGGTATACCAGGGCCTGTTTATAATGGGTATATTGATGGTCACAGAACTAGTGTAGGAGCTATATTCTTCTACAGGTAACATCAGACATTTAATTGTACCCAATCCATTCAAAATTAGAATATAATTTCGTTTCGTTATTATTTATTTTCGGTCTACAATAGATGGCTATTTTGTGACTTAAGAGGGTTAGAGTCCAGACAAGCTGCGAAATACAGTGTCCAATGGTGTAATGTGGTGGAGGCCAGCAGAAATGATGAGGATTGGGGATGATAATAAGGCCACAAAATATATGTACAGAATAATTTTTTTTGTCTTGCTTTATTTGGATTATTGGTTTGATCATAACTGCTTGTAAGGGTGCTTTTATATGCAACACAATTTGCTCTATACAAGTTATATTTGAATGTTACAACCTCAGTTATGTCCCTTGAATCCTCTCAGTGACTTTATTAGATAGATATACCTTTGTCGTATTTTTTAGGTGTTATGCCCGAACAACTTACGATGGAACATCCTTTTTTGCACAATGTTTAGAAAATGGACAGTGGTCACAACCTCCTCCAAGATGTCTGGGTAATATTTTATTTAGTACCAACTTGTAAAAGTTTAGTAGGCCGTTATATCATGCTACTATCATTATGGCCTGTTTCACAAAAACTTAATTTAGAGTGATTTTAGTATTCTAGTAATCCGATAGACCACTAACTAAAATCTATTTTAATTTCAGCTTTAAAAGCCAATCAGATTACTTAATTTCTTAAAATCTTATTTAATATTAATTCAGTAAAATTTTTGTGAAACAGGATCTTTGTCCCTTTTCGATCGCCTTCTTCGAAGGGTATTCTTCAAATTTCAGAGAGGCACAATATTTTCAGATGAGAAGTCCCCTTTTATATCTTGTCACAACACTAATCCGCAACATTATATGAATACCTTGAATCTGTTCGAACTGCTTCCTTAATTCTGAGCACCGTATGAGAAATTTTTCAGAGAAATGCTATCTGATACTGTTCACCTTTTTTCATTTTGCATTAACGTGAGCAACATATAGAACATATAGAAAACTGATTTATTTTATGATTTATTATTAGGACAATGTGCAGTACCAGCTATTTTAAATGGTTCAGTAGTCAATGGTAGAGAGGGGGTGTGGGTGGATCATGGAACAGCTATAAACTATACGTGTAAAGAGGGACTACAACTCAATGATACTTCTATTAATACTTGTAATAATGGAACTTGGAGATTTATACCACGTTGTCTCCCAGGTAAATATCAGTAATAAACCATCGTGATATCCACATGAAGAGATTTTGATTCCAAACTTTTGAAACTTGTCTTGTATTTGACTCGAGAATCTCTCTCATGGTCAGGGTGAACACCTAAATATGCAAACTATTCTACAATTCATTATTTAGTAATTGAGTGAACATTACCTTCAACAGTGGCTCAACTAGATGAGTGGGACACCTTCCCCATTTAATGCTTGTTAAAATGTTTCTTCCTGGAGGCTGGAGCCTGATCTCCCGGAATACACAGTGCCAAGATGCTACTGGGTGTATTCAATAGGATCATCATTTAGAGATTAGATATTTGTACTTACTTGATTTTCCAATAATCTACTTGATTTACTTGAATTTTCAGCGCCCTGTAAGAGTCCTCCACCATTGATTGAGAATGGTCATCGTGTATTTTTCACTATGAATCATGGTGATAGAGCTAGATATTTCTGTATGGAAGGGTATAGACTGTATCAGAGTAACAAGTACCTTACATGTAATTTCGGAGCTTGGGAAGGCGTCCGACCCTATTGTGAAGAAAGTAAGTATGTAATGTATTGATGGAATAATGTGGAATAATTAAACCGATTCAGGGACCCGCTTCACAAGGACATCTTATAATCTTTGTCATAAATATCTCTCAATTTAAAATTCCAATCTTACGATAAATTCTTACTGTAAGATATATTGAGAAACGGAGCCAAGTAGTATACTAGATGAATAATTTTTAATATTATTGATTAATGATAATTTCTTATAATCTTGTTCGAGGCTAGAAATCCACCATCATTAGTGTTCCAGGATCCGAATGAAAATTCGATATCACGTGAGCCACCAAATAGGGAGATTCTCTGAAATTCATATCATCTCCCTTGAATCATTTCAGATTTTTGTCCAAATCCTGGAACCTTAACCAATGGTCAAATATACAAGAAAGGTCATGTTGGAAAATTTCGCTTTAAAGAATACATTGTAACAATAAAACATGGCGACCGACTAGAATATGAATGCCATCGCAATTTCAAATTACAAGGCCCGAAAGGCGCAGCTTGTGTCAATGGAAAATGGAGTCCTCAACAAAAACCGAAATGTGTCCCGGCCCGGCATCCCATATTACCGAAATTATGGAGACCTATGGAAGAACTTTCGTAAACGTTTAACCTGCTAAATCATTGAGATGTTGAAAATTAAAAAAAAAACGATATACTTTGAAACATGTGGACATTCAAAAAACATTCAATTTACCCGTGCATTATTTCAGACAAAAATCTGGTGAAGCCCCAGAGCTAAAAGTTGGCAGTTACCGCTAGACATCATCAATTTTTGTGAACGCGACAGTAGGAAAAGTTTTCATAATAATTAAAAAAGGGTTATTATCTTGGCAAACTATCTTGTCAATTTTAAGATATCAAATGCGCATTCCCTTAGTATATAATTGTTGTAGAAACGATCAGAATGGTTTTTGTACCATTTTAGAGGCCTCCAATCTTAAGTACTTAACAAAAAATGCCTGGACAATCTTTCCTAGCACAGCAATGTTTAGCTATTTGTATTTTTATAATGTAGATTACAACGAATACACACAATATTTCATTTCATTCTACTATATTATTCGATGTTGTAGAATGTAATGGAGTTTCGTGTTTCATATTAGATTGATAAAATGATAATGCATATTGCAATCCCTTGAACAGTTCAATACAGTATACTCTGCTTAATCCGACATACACGGGGACAGCAAAGCAATGTTGGATTAGCGAGAGTGTCGGAGTAGTTTATATTTTACATTTCCAAAGTTTCAAGTATGGTTTAGTAAATTGCGACAAGGAAGCTCTGTGTCCAGTATTCTGTTCGTTATATTATTATTAAGAAAACAAAACAACCTTATGTATCATTATGTATGGAGCAATTCTAAAAAAGCCCTTGTAAATTAGCTATCAAGTATTTTGGATTGTGTGACTTGGTGTATGACTAAAATAGACACTAATATTATTGAAATGTGGTTGTGAAAATATGCGAAATTATGATAGAGAATTGTATATATGTAGTATAGTATATATAAATCCAATTTAAAATTAAGTCTAAATATGTTAAACATTATGTATAAAACTATGAATTTTCACTTTACAAATTCATTCCATATCTGACTTTCTGTGTGTTTTTTTTTGTCTAATTTTTTTTTGTACATATTGAAAATTTGCCTTTATCCCTCTGTGTACTGAAAACGATACATCAGATTAACTATGGTATCGAATAAAATCAGCCTCAACTTAACAATGTCATGCTATTAAGAACTTCGTCTTATACCTTGACTGTAATAGCCAACTTTCTTGCATCACGGAATTCAGCAATTTGATTGGATGTGCACCAGAGAATACAGCCAATCAGAGCCATCGACTGAAAGACTGTAAAACATTATATCTTAGTGTTAACAAACGTTCTGTCTGAATCTCTGATTGGCTGTATCCGCTAGTGTACAATCCAATCAAATATGTACATTGACAAATGTCTGTGACACAAGAAACTTGGTTATTGCAGTCAAGATATTAATCGAAGTTCATAATAGTTTGACATTATGAATATGATTCAGCCGATAGTGAGGATATTGATAAACCGATATTATAATGGTCAGTGTAAACTTGCAATATTTCCTTATTTCATTGTCTTATAATACTTTCACTTGTCGTTATTAAAGGTTGTATATTCAATAGTGTATGTCTAGAATGTGTGTTATGCTATAGTGTTGCTTTGTTATGTTCCAAAATTGCCGAAAGTTTCAGGCTATACTTAATTGTAAACTAGAAAAAAGTATGTTCTCTTCTTTTGACCCTGGCCAGTGCTCCTATAGGAGAGTATCTACTATAACACCCAACATATACATATACACCCGGTATATATTTTAAGATTGGTATACAATCCAAAACATGTGTATGTGTCACCTTTTATGTTACTATTATAATAATTTGAATAAATGTTTTTAGTTGTATTCATACTTTCTTAGTTTGGGTTTTCCAAACTGCAAAACTTGTGTCAGATATCATTACACCCCTACAGCCCTGCAACATATCACGGTAATGGATGGAAGACATTATTTACTGGAACTAAGTCACAGGATCTTAGAATTAACATATAATTTAAGAATTTTAATCTTGGCGAATAAGAGCCAGTAGATATACCTGGTGTCATAAATGACATAACAGGATCCTTATATAATCCGATAAATCTAAAAAACTTTTATTTTCCAATTTCCCAGGGATTCTGTAACTTTATGACACCAGGTAAGTTCACTGATGAACATATACTAATATTGACCTTTTCGATAGTATTACTTTAACGTCAGAATTATCACCTAATGGCTCTAAAGCTAGGGACTATTTTGTGACCCATGCTCGCCCTCTCAACTAATTTTTCCTAGAAACGCCACTGATTATGAACAGGCACTGACATAGAAAGTCATATGTATGTATGTAACATTTGATTAGAGTAGTTGATTAGTTTTAGTCGAATTGCAGGAATCACAGACGGCTTATCGAAAATAGGAATGATGCATATTGAATGATGCACAGTGTCCCCAATACACATACAATTTATAAAGCCTATTTACAGTCCTTTTAAGTTTTATTCATACTAACACTTCAATTCCTCAATTTATCATTCGTTGTTACGTTAAACCTGGTCGCAAGGTTAATATTGTACATCAAAACGTTATTATACACTGTAAGGTTGTTGGTTTAAGAATCTATAATTTAGAGGATACGACTGAATGGAATATTTTTCGTACAAAATATAATCCAAAAATAAAATTAAATATTGTTTGGCCATATGCCATATTGTTTAAACTCACGCCTAGGTAATAAGGCTGAAATTATAAAGGTGTTACCAGAATACAATAGAGTCACGTTACACTATTTGATCAGACAGATGAAATAATACTAACTATTTGTTATGAATGTAATAAATTTAAACATGAGGTACAGGTGTATTTACAACCTTCAGTAAAATTGATCTTTATGAATGAATGTAAACTGAAAAGAGTATAAAAGATGTGGAACTATGATAAATCTACAGGTTACCACAATACAGTATCCACCATGAGATCTCTGTTTCTGATAGCTCTTCTTGTTTGTACTTTGGTTTCAGCTCAGCCTAGACAGGTATGTAAATTGACGACGTTACCATACCATTGATCGTTTCCAAAGTTGATATCCGGACTGTGCTTTCTCAATGGTGAATTTGTCATCAAATAAAGATACTCTGTTTTGTCACGTTGTCCAATCATCAGCTGGTGCAAAAATAAAACGGTGTTCTCCCAATCTCACAATCTTTTAATGTCTGATTAATCAATTAAATTTGATGTAACGCTATGTTTAAACTCAGAAACATGCAGCAGTTATCGACAATTTGGACCATCTCATAGTAATATGTCTCATTCAATATTTCAGGCAAAGAGAGTTCAGCGTGCGAGTAAGTACTATCATCTATGTCTGTTGTCTTTAAACTGCATCTAATATTTATATCTTTGTTTTCATCGACATTATTTGAGTAGCCACTGTTTAGTTTAGAGGAACAACACTTACGCGACAATTAATAACGATTTTTTTTTAAAAATTTTATCTGTACATGTACATATTTATGACAAGCTTATAATTAAAGTAGTAAAATATTACTTATTTTACAGCATGTTCTCAACGTTATTCGGCTACATCTGGTGTTATAACATCTCATTCTAACTATGGACGAAGGAATTATGATAATTCAATGGACTGTACTTTCACCATAATGACTGGTAACAGTGCCACTGTTTACATTTCTGTTGATCAGCTGGATATAGAAAGGGAAAGTTCTTGTTCTTATGATTCTCTTAGCATTGGTATTAATACTCCAAATTCCAAAAAACTGTGTGGAACCGAGAGAGGAACTTTTATTTGTAAGTATACACATGTTTAACTCGGAGGCGAGGTCCTTCCCGGGCGACCAATGGATTTTAGATGGCTTGAGATAAATTTTGAGCATTAAGAGGACAAAATACCTTTAACAACAGGGTTCACGCCATAAATATGCTACTGTAACTTATGATAGCATGCTTTTTCTAACAATTATTACAAAGTAATGTTTGGTAGGTTTGTTGCTATTTTCGAGAAACAGTCAATCAATGGAGTTTTCTGGTCAATTGCAACGTTTCGATAATGTTCCAGTAATCATATAATTGAAGCATTAAATGGTACAACTGAAACCGGTATTTTATTACAAATCCCTTTGCTACTCCTTTTTTCAATTATTTCAGATAACAATGTGCAAGGTCGTCTAGTTCTGTCATTCAAATCTGATGGTTCAGTTACATCTCGTGGATTCAAAATTACCTACAGAGTTTCTAACAGTGAGTAAATGTTTCCTTTTGTATTGTTTGAGTCATTTGAAAGTTACGTTATAAGTTACGCAAAGGTAGCATTATTTTCAATTAAAACTAATTGTGAAACTTTTTTGAGCGATGGGATTATTTCTAACAACGTATTTGGTCTAAATTAAAATCCGTAGAAGCAATGATTCTGTTTATCAAAATCTAGTCCAAAGTATGGCATAATTGAGAGTAAAAGTTGTATAGAAGTGGATTCCTCCAAAGAGAAGTACCATCTATTGTTTCGAAAAGAGTAAGCTAGTATTAGTCTTATGGGCGATTTCAAGTGGTAGAGCGATTGTTTTTTACTTATGATATCTGGATTGTGAACTCGAGGATTATCCCATTGATATCCACCTGATTCCAAAAATTTGACACAAATTGTTAAAATCTCCAACTCTACAGGAGGAGCGCATTGGTGATTTTTTGGTTTTTGGTTCAGTTTTCAGCTAAAGCGGATGTTAACCATTACGTCACTTTCTTATAAGCATTAAATCTATTCATCTCCTGGTATCTCATTGAATGATCTAGGATGATTGTTGAGGCATATTTTTATTCATGTATATTTCACTATATTTACAGGACCCTGCTTAATGACATTCAAAGGAGATTCTGGTGTAATAACCAGCCCTAGATATGGTTTAACTAATACATATGCTAATAATCTGAACTGTGATTATGCGATTAATACTGGTGCTGGAAAGGCGAACGTGAACCTGGTTTTGAAACATTTTGATGTTGAATCATCATCCGGTTGCGTTTGGGATTACCTTAATATAGTAGCCCCTCATCACCAGTCTCAGAAACTCTGTGGAACCAAATCACCAGGAACTTCATATACAAGTAAGTTACTTAGATTGATTAATCATTTTGGTCTCTACACCGGAACAGCGTGCATGCATACTTTGCACTTTGTGGAAAGTCAACATTTTTGAAACAAGCTTAATAAAGATCTTTTTACTTTATCTTGTAAGACTTGTCCATTTTTCTTCTTTCCTTTCAGTTAGGGGTGTAGAAGGTGGCATGGTTCTCAGGTTTCATTCTGACAGCTCGGTTACTAACTCTGGATTTTTACTTGAATATCAAGTATTAGGAAGTAAGTATAATTTCTAATGTCTATTGTCGGACAATCTGCTTGACTCGTGTGTAACTCGCTGTAGTACACAAACACCTATTAGAAAATCATAAAGGCCTATCATTAATGTAGAAAAGTACCTGGGAGTACCTGTGAGAATCATATGTCTTACCTTACTTTACTATTTGAAATAATATACGAAACCTCGTAAACGAACCAGGCGCTATTTATACTTAGGATATATGATTAAGACATGTGCTATTATTTCATTTACAGAAAACAGTTCAATACCATCACTGAACAACACCTATCCATCCTGGAACAGCACCAATCCATCTTGGAATAGCACTATTCCGTCATGGAACAACACCAATCCGAATAATACCAATCCATCTTGGAATAGCACAATCCCGTCTTGGAACAGCACCACCCCGTCATGGAACAACACCATCCCATCTTGGAACAACACCAATCCGAATAATACCAATCCATCTTGGAATAGCACCATCCCGTCTTGGAACAACACCGATCCATCATGGAACAACACCAATCCGAATAATACCAATCCATCTTGGAATAGCACCATCCCGTCTTGGAACAACACCGATCCATCTTGGAACAACACCAATCCGAATAATACCAATCCATCATGGAATAGCACAATCCCGTCTTGGAACAACACCGATCCATCTTGGAATAGCACCATCCCGTCTTGGAACAGCACCATCCCGTCATGGAACAGCACCATCCCGTCTTGGAACAACACCATCCCATCTTGGAACAACACCATCCCGTCTTGGAACAACACCATCCCGACTTGGAACAACACATTCCCGTCTTGGAACAACACGGGTCCATCATGGAACAATACCAGACCAACTGGAAACCGTACATTTATCTTTTAAACATTGAACTAACAATAAAGTAGTGTTTGCATGCTTCAACATTGTTGTCTCTGTCATTAGATTGGGAAAAACCTTACTATTTTATCTTTGAAATATATCTAAATGGAATGAATTCGTATTTGAATTAGAACTTCGTATTCAAAGATTTCTCTAAGAAAACATCCAAAGGGCTTATTTAGATCGACTTTTATTTATTACCTAAATTTTATTCAGTAAGATTTGTACACCAATCTTATCTGATCTGATTTAAGAGCATGGCCTTGTAGGGAACTATGTTGTCTATTGCTCACCAATGGCGTCGAAATATAAAAATGATTTGAAACGCAGAGATAATGGTGTCGATGAAGTTCAGTTTCAAACTGTGCTACCCCACAACGGTAAAATAATACCTTAATTGCAGAACAAGAATTGAAACGTGGATTTGTTTGGGGTTTCTTTTTTGTTGCTTCTGTACGGAGTACTAAAAAATGCCCCTCCCTTAAACTTCAGAATTAGGTAAAGGAATAGAACGTCTTAGAATGAAGGTAAAATTTTAATTTCGCTCAAACCTGGCCAATAACAGTATATTATCAGTGGACTTAACTGGTGTCATAGCTATACATCAAAATCCCTCTATAATCCGATAAATCCACAAAATCAAGTTATGTATTATGAAACGTTGAATACATCCAGTAAGCGATTTTCAAATCGTGAGTCTTGGATATCCGTTGTAATCCTTTCATTAGTATAGGATAAAACACGGCTCGGGGTTTATATGATATCTGACCCTGTCATCGTATGATTTATATCTCATATTATGCTTTTCCTAAAAAAAACAATCCTATCAATTTTAATCCCTACATTGTGAAATATGTCACAAATGACTCTAGGAGCATATTCAAATACAAAAATCTTACTCACTGGTCGCCGACTGAATTGACCAAGTTTGTAGATATGAATTGTACCCCTTTGTTAAGGAAAATGCCTCTTTCATAGAATATTTTGGACCTTAAATGAGAATTATAGAGCATGCATCATAGAATGGATAAATTTGATTTGTATTTGTCGAGAGCTCTGATTGACTGTATTCTCTAGTATACAATCAAATGGTACTTCCGTGAAAAGTGGCTATTGCAGGAGAGCATATGTTTAAATAACTTTCCCGGGGGAGGAAGAGCCCCAACCCATTTAAGTCCATGGGCCCCCATCCATCTAATTAAGTCCACGGGCCCCCTCTATTTGTTGATGGTGAAAAGAAGACTATCGGCGAAGATGTTCTAACATTAAACTACAAAGGTAAGATATCGTTTGTTCACATTTGCACGTGCCAGTGACTGGATTTGACAAACGAACGTTCTTTCTCAGTCCTAAAGATTCCATAAAAGAGGCTTTCACCGTCAAGGAGGTGCAATTCCTACCTACCAACGTGGTTGATTGAGTCAGCGACCAGTTGCTTTGAAATATTTGTGAAACAAAGTTTAGAGAACGCAAAAGTTTACAACACTCTTTAAACTGGGTTAAAATTACAGATAAAACGCCATAGAACACGTTTTAAAACGTAACCGTTTCAAATGCATGTCAAATGAAAAGCCTCATCAAATATATGTAACCGAGTGAAATTACATTAAATATGGATCAGAAAAAGAAAACAGTTCAGAGTACAGCAGTGCTGTCGGATTCCTCTCCTTCCATTCATTCTTCTCTCGTTCCCGCGTCAACCCGCGTCAAATGAAAAGCCTCATCAAATATATGTAACCGAGTGAAATTACATTAAATCTGGATCAGAAAAAGAAAAATACAGTCGTCTCAATGAGACCAAGAAGACAGTTCAGAGTACAGAAGTGCTGTCGGATTCCTCTCCTTCCATTCATTCTTCTCTCGTTCTCGCGTCAACCCAAACCGGATCTCACTGATAACAACTGGTAGATCAGGGGAGGGTACTCGCATTAGACTACGAATATTCCGCCCTACAGCTAGACCGAAACAATTCCCTCTCTTCCAGTTTCTGGAAGCTATTTTGAAAGATGTCGGCTGATGGAGAGACAGAAAAACTAGGCCCTGTTTTGAGAGGATTTTCCACAACTCCAAAGTTGTCGGGGGTTTTAACCTTATTTAAATCGGATCCGCTTAAACCAGATAAATTCGTAAAGAAGATAGTTCAGTAATATCACCCTTAATCCCCATACACCATATATGTCACGTCTGAAAGTCCATCATCTTTTTAATCGAAATTGACAATTAAAACTGCGTAAGGAGTTATTTACTTTTCACCAGCCGAATATCAGAGGCTGGTAAGGAGACTGATGTTTCGGACTACTCGAAAGCTAGACTCAATACATATGCGTTTCAATACTTCCACGTGTATGTTTTTAGTTTTTTGCAACTTGATGGAAAGGGGATTTCGTACAGTTGTAGAATTTATGAATACTATTTATATATGTCCAAAACCAAAATCAACCCTCAATCAACTATAAGGAGGATGGTTCCAAAAGTTAAGACGCATCTGATTTTACATTGATGTCGCAAGATAACGCAGAGTTACGTCCCATACACGTGTCTGTTCCTACATCCTTAAAAAAAAAGGCGGTCTTAAGTAAGCTTGAATGGACAGCCCGAAAAACCCAACCAAAATAATTATAAATACTTATTTTTAAATTTACATTACTAATAATTTTATTGGAACTATTTACAGTTACAAAAATTATAAGTTCAAAAGATAAATGTATGGTTTCCAGTTGGACTCGTAGTATTCGTTAGTGGGAAAGTTTTATTGGACGACGGCAGAGAGTAGTTCCCGAACAGAAGGGTGTTGTTCCAGGAAGGAATGGTGCTGTTCCAGGACGTGATGGTGCTGTTCCATGACGGGATGGTGTTGTTCCCCAACGAAATAGTGTCATTTCCCTGAAATATTTTAAGGATTAATCGTTTTCAATCAAATACGAACTTTCATCCCGATTTCCATATTCACAATATCATGCTATTACGAACTTGGAGTTTGAAATGAGTCTATGTAGTGCTGAGTCGGAATGCTTAAGGTTTTTTGAAACATAAGTGTCGAAATAAACGAATTCGTATGAGTATCTTGGTTAGTACTTTTAGAAAATACGATTACAAGCTCGTTTCTGAAATGGAAGCGACGTCCAAGATATGAGAAAGTCTGGAAAGTACATACCTGTCTTGGCTTGGCTGAAACCAAAGTAAAAGCAAGAAGAGCGATCAGAAACAAAGATCTCATTGTGAATACTGTATTGTGGTAACCTGTAGATCTATCATGGTTCCACATCTTTAATACTCTTTTCAGTTTACATTCATTCATAAAGACGTGATCAATTTTACTGAAGGTTGTAAATACACCTGTACCTCATGTTTAAATTTATTACATTCATAACAAATAGTTAGTATTATTTCATCTGTCTGATCAAATACTTCAACGTGAATCTTGTACATTGCTCCAGCCACATGAATGAGCACTTTTTATTTACACCCACAATGTAATAATTAGTTCTAAAGCACCAACGAAATTATGGTTTTCTACCGTATTTGATGAAGCGTATATATACTATAGGGACGTGAACTGTCCATCTTCACAATATCAAGCTATTACAAACTTTGTCTACCACCTTTCTTATATCATAGCAGTTTGAAATGCATAGATTTGATGAGATTTTTCACCGAAAACATCAAACCAGAAAGCCATAATATTTACTGCCTTTCTGTCGAGGGATCTGATTGGCTGTATTCTATGGCGTAAAAGCCAATCAAATTTCTGCATTTTGTGATACAAGAAAGCTGGCCATTGCAGTCAAGGTATAAGAAGAAGTTTCACATTGTGAAAATAGCACTGGTCAAATGTGTTTTGAAGCCTTTGTTGAAATAGTATAGCCTTTTTAACAATTCGACTCATTAAATCGAGGAAGAGATTCAAAATGGTTGTGAACTACGTTCGTGTGTGTAATTCCATGAAAGAACCATACACAGTTCCGTAAGTTTCGTCCAACTTTGACATTGTTCCGTAGAACGGTTCTTGAGTTCTGACGCTCAATTCAATTTTTAGCATGATAGAAGCTAAAGTTTTTATCCTTTAGATATAAACGTAGTATGCCTATATATAAATTGAAGTATTTTGGAGAATTTCGAATATAACAATGTTTTTATGAAGAGTTATTGCTTCCGATGTTGCAGCGCATTGGAATCCGGAATATTCATCTAATCTTTATGTACCTTGAAATGTACCTTAAACTAATCATTTCTTTTACTTTTCTTTTTCTTTGATTAACGCCGGTAGGGAGAGAGCCCACCTTGTACATCACATTGAGTGATATTCATATACCATTTTTTTAACATCCTTTGTAACAAAAAAGGTTTCCTTTGACAACAGTATTAAAGTTTGACTCATTCAAATTCTCATCTTTTGTGTAATCCAAATTGGTAGAGAACCATAGCTCCTTTAGTGCTAGACATAAATAATGGCGTAATTGAAAATAATGTCCATTCATGAATATTTAAAAAAAACTTGCTAAAATATCCACAACATTGTTTAAACTCACGCCTAGGTAATAAGGCTGAAATTATAAAGGTGTTACCAGAATATGATAGAGTTACGTTACACTATTTGATCAGACAGATAGAATAATACTAACTATTTGTTATGAATGTAATAAATTTAAACATGAGGTACAGGTGTATTTACAACCTTCAGTAAAATTGATCACGTTTTTATGAATGAATGTAAACTGAAAAGAGTATAAAAGATGTGGAACCATGATAAATCTACAGGTTACCACAATACAGTATCCACCATGAGATCTCTGTGTCTAATCGCTCTTCTTGTTTGTACTTCGGTTTCAGCTCAGCCTAGGCAGGTATGTAAATTGACGACTTTACCATAACACTGATCGTTTCCAAAGTTGATATCCGGACTGTGCTT